AAATAGGTGGTATGTTACACATAAAAATGTACGACAAAGACAACGACGACAACTTACACAAAGCGCACGCATAAAAGTCATTTTTTTAAACAACTAGAAAGATAATGAAAAGAAAATTAATGTCCTCATTTTCTTTTTCTTCTTTCTCTTTTGTTATAAAGAGAAATAGAAATAGAAAGAGATAAGAAAATAGACAAAAGAAAATAATTATACTAACTTGACGTTTGAATTTGCTGTTTTACTGTGACAAGTACAAACGGAAATGTCGAGATAAGAAACAAATAAAAAAAAAAAAAAAAAAAATTAGAAAACAAAAGAAATAAAAATCAGGAGCATAATCCTAGACACATTTGACTATTCGCACGATCGCGTGCAAATGATAGCGGAATCAATGATTTTGAATTTTTCACATGGAACGAAATTCATTTTCATCAGTGTTATGAAATGTAACAATTTCATTTGGCACCGAAATATCAAATAAATATTATTTTTGCAAGCTATATTATTTATCAATTAAATTAAATATTTATTTATCAAATAATAGAGATATCTTGCACAAAATAGAAAAAAAATTATTACAAAAAAGTTCATCAGCATTATATAATAATAATACGATGTGTTTATATCTAATTTTATTAAATATGTGAATACGTTAATACTTCTTTTTTTTATAATAATTATAAAAGCACAAAAAATATATAGTGCTCATATATATATATATATATATATTATGACAGGAAAATGATTATTACTATAATTGTTGTTTTTTTTTAATCTTTATCTGACACCATTATTAAAAAATATTCTCAACTGGTACGACAAAAAACCTTTTCCTGTATAAAAGTACTTAATACATTTTTTTTTAATTTCTTTTTCTTTTTTTTTTTTTGTATTTTTTATAATAAAATATTTCGATCTTGTTAGAGTTGATATCTTTCTTTTTATATTTTGAAGTGTATATATATATATATAAATATGATTCTTGGTGAAAGCAAACGAAAGTATAAACGCAACGATGTTTATTACGTCATATTGCTATCCGAAGAAGATACTAACAAGAAGAATTAAGTTTGATTTTGTTGATTGTAATTACTTCAAATTTATGTTACGATAATATATCTATAGAGACATATGGTCATACATAAAAACTATTCTTGCACGTTCAAATGATTTGATCATTAACCATGGAAAATAACTATGCAAAACATGAGACTCTTAAAATGTATATTACTCTTTAGAAAAACCAGTTATTTATGTTCATCATGAAAACAAATATTTTACAGAGATTGATACTTTTAATAAATGTATCAAAACAAATCTTTAGAAACAAATATGAAATTCTAACTCATTCACATTATTCTTACAATTTATTGTATTTTATTTTAATCACGTAGGTTTTTATTTCTTAAAAAAAAAAAAAAAAAAAAAAGAAATAATATTACTTTTTATAGAAACATTTATGGAATATTTAATATCGATCATTTTATTCAACCATTTTTTGTTGTTATATCTTTTTAAACCTACTCACGAACATGTATATTATATTTAAAGGGATCAAACCTCATGAAACATTTATGTTACGTATTGTAAATTTATCTAAGTGTTTTCATTTCTGTATATGTTTTTTTTTTTTTTAATATTGTGTTGCTATATCGAATATTCACTTTCAAGTTTTTTTTTTTATAATATAATAATAACGTTACCACATTTTTCATATTTTTACGATAATCGATATTCTTTCCCATGCTTCAACAAACGGGTCAATTAACTTAATAATTGATCACGTGTATTAATTATTATTATTAGATCAATTTTTCGTATAAATAATTTCGATAATTTGTTTCACGAATAATTCAAATTGATTACAATTTTTCACATATAAAGATCTCATCAATGTTTTAACCATGAAAAATATTTGTGAACAATTAAATTCTCTATTAAATAAAAAGTAATTTTGACAATGTGTACGTACCACGAATAATTAAAATTGATTACAATTTTTCTCACAAGATCTCGTCGATTTTTTAACTATAAAAAACATTAATGAACAATTAAATTCTGTATTAAATATAAACTTTTGTTGAATAAGTTCTTTCTTAATTTATCCCGATTGTGAGATATCACGTCAAGCCATATATATATATATATATATATATATATATATATATATATATGTTCACGTTATATTTAAGGAATTATATTCGCCTGACAAAAATTCTCATCGTTGAAATCTTTTTTAGTTGGAGAGTTAGATCAAGCATGAAAATTATCGAGGAGTGAAATCTTGAATGAATATAACTTTAACTTTCGAACTTTGCTTTCGTTCCTGTCTTTTATACGAGAACAAACTGTACATCAAATTGTATACAATATCATATTATATATATATATATATGTGTGTGTACAAGTATATATAATTTTTATGTTTCAAAAGTTTAAAAAAAAAAAAAAAGCAGATAAAATAAGAAACAGAATAAAACGATATTACAACCATAAAACTTTGTATCTTATTAAAAAAAAAAAAAAAAGAAAAATGTAAAAAAAAATTGATAATGTTTGCTTATGGTTAAATAAAAAAAAAACAAACAAAGTGATTACAAAATACATAGTATATTGATTAAATAATATTGATCATAGGTTTATTTAACATGTGAGAATAGCTGTATCTTTTTTCATAGGTGGATCTATCATTGAAATGAAGATCCTTCGAACGATCGAGTAGATCGTTTATCGATGTTCTTGGGATCCCTTCTTTAGGATCACCATTGGAGTAGCAAGAGAAAGAGTAAAAAAGAGAAAGAGACAGCAAGTTACAGAGTTAAGTGTAGCGTGGAGGTGGTGCCAGGCTCCTCCTTCTAATAAAAGCCGCTCACTAAGCGCCAGTAAACAGACAGTCAGAGAAAAGTCGACGAGAACACGGGGCCTGTCGTGAGAGCTCCTCTTTAGGGACATTCAATTTTCAATTTCTTTTTTTATAGTTTTAATATTCCAAAGTTTTTCATTTGTTTTTTTTTTTTTCTATTTAAAATAATATATATTTTTTTTTTTGGTTTCTGTTCCAACCTGTGACACACACCGTATTCGTAAACAAATTTTAATTATATTTAGGTATACAAATAATACATGTTCATTGAAATTTCATAGAAATTGTGTTTTGTGGTGAATTTTGAATGTGGCTTTTATCAAAACTTCATTTTATTTTATTTTATTTTGTTTTTTTTTTCAATACTTGTGCTGAAACTTTTACCCCCCCCCACCTGTTTACCACCACCACCATCACCAGTACAACCACCACCACTGCTATTAATTTCCCTCCCACTTTACCCTACGTCACAAAGTGTGTACGAAAATTAGGAAAATTTAGATCGTGTGAATTGTTGTGAATTTTTGTGAGATGAAATTTACAAATATCTTTACTTTCATTTTTATTCGTTGTTCTATAAAAGGCAAAAAACTTTGGTTGAATTTTTGTCACGAGTAATTCTCGTAATCGAGAAAAACACGTGTGTCAGGTGACGGAAAAATAAATGATTGAGGGGGACAACAACAACAAAAAAAAGAATGGAAAAATCTATGTAATATTCTAACGATTGGAAAGTTATAAAGAAAGAAAATATTTTACATAGGGAAGTGAAATCTTTGGTGAAAGATCGTAAAGGAAATCGATCAGAAAGGAAAATCGTGAATTAAAACGTATGCGATTTCGTTAAATTCATTTCACTCTTACTCGTGTTTCATACAAAACTATATATATATATATATATATATCAAATAATATCAAATAATAATAATTTTTCAAATTAGTTATTATTGTTGGATGATTAAAATGTCTGTCAAATGAACTGACCTCGAGACTGAATAAAATAACGCAATACTTCGTCACACACACACACATCTTCGAATAGAAAACGTGTGTGCATTGAATTCGTGCATTGAATCTAATTTGACAACCATTGTCAAAGTCATTTTTAATTCCTAAACGTCATTCTACTTTATAATAATAAATTACTATCATTTTTTTTTAATGTTTTTTTGGTATAATTTTTAACTTTTTTTTTTTAGTATCTGTTACTTCATTAATGACAAAAAAATTCATTTCAATTAAATTTAAATTTATTTTTTTTTACTAAATTTTTATTTTTTTCTCTTTTAAATTTAAATTAAATTAAAATAAGAAATATTTCCAATTAACTTTGGCCACCTAATTTTAATAATAAAAATAAAAATAAAACTTTCGCGAATAAATTTCAATTAAATTTAAATTTAATTGAAATTTGTATTTTTTTTTTGTTTTTTTCTTAAATTTAAATTAAACTAAAATAAGAAATATTTCCAATTTACTTTGTCATTCCTAATTTTAATAATAAAAATAAATATTAAAAACGTTCAAATAACAAAAAATCAATTGACGAAAAAAAAAACTACAATTGAAATATTTAATTTTGTTTATTTAAATTTATTATTTTCACGTTGTCGTTGAAAACTTTGTTGAGTTGAAGATGAAGATGAGAACAGAATCATTGGACTTTCATTCGGTCGAAAGTGATAGTCTTGAGTCAGAATACTATGCTCGAGAAAAGAGAGCCTTTCCTCGGGTTCTCCTCCTCCTCCTCCTCCACCACCTCCACATCCTTCAACCATCACCGTTACCACTACCACCTTTCTTCCTATCGATCTTCCGAGCTACTTCACCTGTATCTTTTTACTTTACATTCCTTTCAATTGGTTTCCGGTCTTCACTAATGGTTTCTAAGCATGAAATCGTTATTGTAACATGTTCAACATGCATGACCTTCGAATAAGAAGACTAAGAAAACATCTAAGCTTCTCCTTCATAATAATAATCATCATCATCATCATCATTATCATCATGAATAACATCATCAACAACAAATATTTATATTTATTTTTATTTATTCAAACAATACGAAAGTCATTCTCTGTCGTTTGCAGAAAAATCTTGTGACGATAATCAAAAAAAAAAAAAAAAAAAAAAAAGAAAAAAAGAAGTAGAGAAGAAAAAAGCAACAAAAACATAAAGAAAAAAAAAACAAATAGAAAAAAATGAGGTGTACAACAACGGTGACTCTGGTGGCTATGATCAGCGTTTTCGCATTGGTCAACTCTTATCCTGTGGCACAAGAAAAAGGTTTTCGATCAGAGGTAAGTGAATGGAACACAAATTCGAACATTCTTTTTTCTACCCCTCTCTCTTTTCTTTAACTCTGTTTCTTTATCTTTCTCTTTCTCTTTTATATATAATAATAATAATAATAATAATAATAATAATAATAATAATAATAATAATAATAATAATAATAATAATAATAATAATTAANATAATAATAATAATAATAATAATAATAATAATAATAATAATAATAATAATAATAATAATAATTAAATAATGTTAGTCGAGCTTTCTAAAACATTATTCCAACTAATACACGGTGTAAGAATGTTTGCAATTGAAAGCAATGTGAATAATGAATTATACAAAAGAAAAATAATAGAAAAACAAATAAATAAAATGACCATTAGACTCGTTAGATCAAATATCATTTTAAAATCAGTATAGGAAACCAACTTTGAGTAATCAAACTTGATTCATATATAGCTTGTGTATATATACCCAGTGTACGATAAATTATCGTCAATTATGAAACAATTTATTATAAAAAAAAAATATATATATATATATAAATAGTAATAGGGTTGTAGTTGAAATAATTAAATAAAAATCTAAATGATTTCACGAACATTGTCAAATTACGTAAGTTATAAGAGGTATTATGACAACTTTCACTGTGTCACTGGGTCATTTTATCTTTTATAGAAAACTGGTCCGCCTTTTGTCTCTCGATACGTTCAAGCTTGGAGAAAGTTGAATTTCTACGATACATTTATACTTATGTCTATATGTATATAAGCATATTAGTGGGCATATGTGAGTCACAGAAGTATTCGTTCACACAACGTTCCCTTTATAAATTTGAAATTTGAAATAATTCCTAGGATAAATCATCCAAATTTCTATACGTGGAAACATATTTTTTGGAATTATTACAATTTCACATTGATATAAAATAAATTTCATTGTAGAAAAATATTTTATTCTTTTTAGAAAAATATATATAATTTTAATTAAACAATGACAAATTTATATAACATATAAATATATATTATATAATAAATCAATTATATTTTTATATATAAATCTATATATATATATATATATAAATAAGCTAATAGCATATACGTAAAAGCTGTAATAAAAATATAAAAAATATTTTTTTATTTAGTATTTGGGATAAAAATTAATTTTTTTTTTTGATTGGTTGTATATCAAATTAAAAATAAATTATTTGATTGTTTTTTATATTGACAATAACTAATACTTCTGTTACTCGTATTTATAACTTAATTGTATATATGTGTATATGTATATATGTATATAAGGAAAAACTATTACAAATGATTTTAATTGTCTCTTAGGTATCTAGGTATTTTTATAAATCGATTGCTACAATTGAATTATTAATTGTATATTTTTTTTTTTTTTTTAACTTACTCAAACGTGATTACTTTCGCTTTCTGTCTGGTGAAAATAAAGTTCTTTCTAAAGAGAAAGAAATATTCTCTTTCTTTCTTAAGGAAAGAAAAGAAAACAAAAATTTAAATTAACAAAAAAAAAAAAAACAAAAAAAAAAGAAAATATAGAAATAAACGTAGACGTTCTCGTTGATATTTGACTAGAAATTATTGAAAATCTTGTTGGCAGGTAAACGTCAACGTTTGACTTTATTTATCTACAGCAAAAGGGTAAAGAAAAAAAGAAAGATTAAAAGAACCACAACTTGTTGAAAGTTTTATATTTCTCCACGTGACGAAACGGAACAAAGTCAGTCACGTAGAAAATTTAAGTTGACCGTTCAAAAAATTATCGAGTTAAAAAGCCGAAATAATCGCGAGATTATTGCGAGAGAGAAGAAAATCAACTGCTGGTAAACCCCCCATTCGAACGATAAATTAATCTTTCATTAAAATAACACCTATGTACTAGGATTTTCGTAAAAAGGTGCAATACATTGAACACATTAAATGAAATTGGATTTGTATTAGATAAATCGGTATATATAATTGTTGTATTAAATTACTTCTGAAAAATGTTAAAAATAATTTGATCAATTGGTCAATCTTTGATGATACGATCAAAATGAAATTATTATTTTATACCTTTTGGAAGAAATATATATATATATATATATATTTTTTTTTTTGAAATCTTTAAGGTATGAGGTATAATTTGGATATAAATTGTACTTTCAATATTTAGAAAAATTAATTAGAATTAAATTAAAAAAAAATAATTTCTAAATAAAGACAAATTAAAAGTATTGCAAAATAACCAATTAAAGGTATTGCACCTTTTCATTAAAACTATAATAAAATATATATATTTAATGTATATAAAATATAATTATATTATATACATTATATAGTACTTTATATATACATTATATATACATTATATACAGTATATAATGTGCCACTAATTTGCCAAATCGATTAATTCCACACATTTACAATTATTTCAATAATTCTATCCATCTTCCGTACTTATTAATAATCAAATAATTAATCTCAAAAAATTAAATCTTTTTGCATCTCGTAAAAAAAAGTACCAAAAAAAAAAAATAAAATAAAATAAAATTAGCAACAAAAAATTATAAAAATTTCGAAAGAACAATTTAATATCGATTTAGGAAATATCCTTCTAAATATGTATATGACTAGACAAAATTCAGAAGAAGAAAGAGACAATTATATGAGGTCCAAAAAACGAAATCGAAGAAGTCCGAGGCCATCATTGGCTGACTACTTCTCCTCTCTCGTCTTTTTCTTAATTCCCCCACCTCCCACCCCCTCAACACTTTCACTGGCCGAGAACGCTACAAACTAAGCGGACACTTTCTTCGAGCTCGATCGATGTCCAATGGAAAGTGCACAGCCTTAACATACACGCATATAACACACATTTCAAAAATTACTACGAGATTCTAACGTGAGAATCTTTCGTATAAATTAAAAACAAACAAAAAAAAAATTAATAAATAATCATTTGTTTCCGTATCATTCGTTTTGTTTGTTTTTTTTTTTTTTATCTCGTTTCAATGACGTATAACATTTGTTTCTAATTTTAGAATAATAATATAACATTATATTATTATTTTACTTCTCAATAAGATTCATGAATCATTTAAAAAAAAAAAAAAAAAAAATCATTCAAGGTTTTCATTGACCAATACATCAATTAACATCTTGTTAAAATATCTGAATGAAGTGACAACGTTTTAAAAAATCATGATAGACATTTAATACATCATCAAATTATTCGACAAATGTCAGAATAAATTAATAAATTAACATCGTTTTTCAATGAATTTTAATCTCCAAGATGTTTTCAATGAATATGATATTTGATAGTTCGTTTTTACGAATTATATAGAAGTTAATTCAAACTAATTGAAAAATATCTCACAAGCTTGAATGTAAAAAAAAAAACATATCCACAGTATGTAATAAAATGTTAGTATTGACTATTCTTCTTAGAAATAGATTTGACGAAAACATGGAATGCTTAAAAGAACACGAACGTGGTTTGAGGGAAAGTTAAATGTGCTGTTGGTTGGTTGAGCAACGTCATCACACAATGTCCACGCAGTAACACGTGTAACACGAAACTAGATTTTATCGAATATATTTTATACTTCACGTTAGATATAACACAACAAATTTAAAAATAAATTTAAAAATAAATTAAAAAATATAAAAAAACGAATAGTTTGATTCATAAATATAAAATAATAATAATAATAATATATATACGTGATTAAATTAATTAAACTAATTGTAAGTTGTTTCAAATTATAATCATGATCAAAATCCATTGTATGTTTAACCTTCGTTAGAAAATATTCTTGATTATACGTACTTGTTTTAATTGATCAAGAATACTTAAAAGAAAAAGAGAAAGAGAGAGAGAGATAGAGAGTAAGAAACTAGAAAATGAGAATAATTAAATATCAATGTTAATTTACAAACTATGTTATAGTAACGTAGTTACAGTTATACTATGTTAGACTAACGAGTTTTTTTCCTTAACTCGTAAATGCATTATGCTCGCTTCCATTTTAAGCAAATAAATTGTTCACTCGAGTATTTATACACTTCAACGATATTAATACGAATGATTTAGCATTATTAAACATGTTAAATGTTTTAGAAAAAATAAACAAAGAAAAGAGACAGGGGGTTAAATAATTGTACGAGTTATAATTTGTAAAGGAAAAAAAAAGAAGGGGCCAAATGAAACTTTTTTCAGGCTCTCGATCGCTTGTTAATGATCGAAGCGGACAAGGAAGCTGCACTGAGGAATAAAAGGACGATCGGTATTCTTCGACAACTATTTCCAGATATTACCCAGGTGAGCTAGTACCTGGTATAACAAACAAACCAATAAAAAATCAAAGCCAATTAAGCTGACGAGAACTGAGAAAAAAATTAAGATTAAAATAAATTATTCTAAACGATCGATCACAAAGTTATCAATAAATTGAAATTGTAATCTTCGGTAAGATTGCAAGGTTTCGATCATCTTCTAAAAAAAAAAAACAAATCCTTTCAAAATCTGAACGGATTTGAACGGTCATCCTTCAATTGGAATTCGTTCATTCCTCTAATTATTAATTCACTCTAAAGCGCAATTTGTTTGCGAATTAGTCAAATTATTACAAAAATAAGATCATCGATAAATCGAACAACAAATTTTTGTCTTCGGTATAATAATGATTAATGTTTCCTCTATTGTAACAAAAAAATTCGTAGATACTTTCCAGGTGTTTAGAACGCGATTTCATCTATCGAACTCGAGGGGGATTATTAATCATTACTCAATTTTCAAATGAATTTCTCTATGTTTTGTACACTCCGTTAGATATCTACTCGTAACGAAATAAGACGACGGGCATGACAATAATGATTTACCACGGTGTGTTTCCTTTTTTATATGCCGGCCGAGGCTTTTGCGACAGGAATCGATTTGGTAACGATTTCGTTCGTTCTTGCAGAAGACCAGATCGTTAATGTTTACTTATGTATTCCAAGATCGTTCAGTATTATTTCAAAATCCATCCTCGCATTGATCCTTTTAGGAAATCCATCCTTTAGAAGAAGAATTTAAAAAAAAAAACAAACAAACAAACAAACAAACAAGAAACAAAAAATAATTGTTCATTCATCGGAACATAATTATAATATCGATGAGAGAGAATTATGAACACAACACATGAACGAATCAATATGAGAAGAGGATTCCTTTTCTTTGATTATTTTCTTTTTTGTTCTTCCGGTTAAGTGATGTTGTTTTTTAGATGATCGATAATAAGGTGAACAATATAATCTCGGAAATCTTACGCGTCCTTGGCCCGATCATACTAAGAAACATCCTTGCCAATAATAATAGCGGAAATGATGGAAATGGCAGTACTGGAAGAGCAAATGATGATGATGATGGCTCAACCGTAATGATGGAATCATCCTTCGACGACGATCAGGAGGACAACGGTAATGGTAATGACGTTCGCGTTGATTCGATCAATTCAAACGATTCCAGAGTTTCGAATTCTCAAACTACCACTACTACTACTACAACCTTTCCAACGGAGGAGGATCAAAATAATAAAACACCTAGTACTACTACTATTGCGACTACTACTTCTAATCCGAGTAGTCTCGGTACATCTACTTCCAACACCACTGAATCAGCAACAACAACAACAACAGAAAATGCAACATCAACTGAGAATGCAACAACCGATCTCAATACTTCGATGCTGTGATTGTTTAACACAAAGCTCGGTAAAATAATAGACGATTGTTCTGATCGGAACAGGTGTTTTATAGCAACTGTGTGTTATCACAAACCTCGCTCTTCTTCTTCTTCTTCATCTTCTATTTCTACTTTTTACTTTATCTGCTGGTTATTATCTCGTAGAAAAATGACCGCACGAAAAGGACTATTGCGGAGATTCTTCGATTTTCGATATTTTCTCATCATTTCGATATTTCTTTGTTTATCGTGCTAACTCATATTCCATTATTCACGTTCCTTTTTATGGGACGATCAGGTGTGTTCTTTGACGAAAAATTCTTTGAACGATTTTTTCTTTACCGCGCTCGAAAGACAGCTGCGGTTTATGGGATATAACTTTATGGAATGTTCTCTCTCTCTCTCTCTCTTTTTTTTGTGTGGAAAATATCTGTGTTCTCTTGCGAAGATTTTATTCTGTTGCTAATATACAAAAAAATGAATGAACAGTAAAAAACCAAACGATCGATAAAATTCGATCGTAGTCAAACAAACATATTGATCAGCTTTAAATGATTAATTACATATAAGTGTGTATAATAATAATTCATAAGTATGCGAGAAATGTTAACTCATTGTCAACAAGAAATGTTGTTAGAAAAAAAACAACAAATCATCGAATGAATTTTGCCTTTACATAAAAAAAAAAAAACAACCAGTATTATTAACTCAGCACTTGCAATTAGTTTGATTGATTGATTTATTTTTTTAATATGAATCATTTTATTTCTACACCATGCTAGTTAATTTTTCTAAGACATTATGCTTGATCGTTAAATCGTCTGCTTTTTCAACTAATCGTTATACTAAACTTCTTCTTGTCAAAGGATCAACCTTCTCAAGCATTCGTTTGAGATAAATGGGAATTTAAATTTAGAAATTAAAAAGAAAAAAAATATGAGAGAAGTATCTTATTGAGGTTAATTAGTGAATAACTTAATATGACGAAATAAAATTAGTTTTATAAAATACTTAAAAATTACAAAATCTACAAAATTTATCTGTCCTTGATGATAATTAGTCAATGAGATTTATTTCGATACTTTTATGGGCTTTTACAGAGTAGTTAAAAATTTTTTAAATTCAAATTATTTATTTCAAGGCTTATTTCTTTTTTTTTTTTTTTTACAAAAATAGAAATGACTAAAATATATTCATGATCCTTTGGCATTAGAAAGTTTCATATGTTTATAAAATCCTAATTCTACAAAATTCTTATTAAAAATTAAAAAGAAAAAAAAAATGAGTAATTTGAGATTACATTTGCATAAAAAAGAAAAATGATACATGTTTGAAAAACATGGTGGAATATTAATATGAAATCGTTTGTTTCTAGGACGTGAATCCTGAGGCGGAGAATCGGGTAAACGAGGTTGGGTCTGAGTCACAGAACAACGAGGTACGAGTGCAATTTGCCGACGAACAATCGGCGAACGAGGCAGTGCCAAATTTAACACCTTTGGAAGACGTCGAAAGCAGTGACGATGAGAACAGAAATAAAAGGTTCTTGAACTTTGGATTTGGGGGGAGCTCAGGTGGCAGCGGAGCAGGCTCTGGCAACTTCCTTTTTGATATAATCAGGGTAAGTTAATCAGTCTCTTCTTACAAAATATATTTCTTTATCTATTCTAACGATCAAACATTCCAAAATTTAGATTTTCTTACCATTATTACATCTATTATCCTATACGGAACAAAAAACATATTTTATACACAACATAATTTCATATTTTTTCTTGTATCTTTTCATTCAGGTTAATAATCGGTTTAGTAAAACAATTATATTTCATTTTTATAATAAACCAAATCGATTAACTCGATTATTTAAATAATATTATTATTGTATACGTTGATTACACGTTAATGTATTATAAGAATACATATTTTATAAATGCAATGCAATGTCATTTAATTTCCGAATACAAATGTGTGTATATTAAAAGAAATTTCGTTTCGTATAGGTTTGGTACAAAAAAAATAATCATATTGATGAAAAAAAAATAATGTTATGTTAACAAATAAGATAATTATATTTAAAATAAGATGATGCGTTTCCTATCAAGATTTTCTTCGAAGTAAATATATATATATATATATATATATACGGTTATTGGTTGGTTGAAATATAATATAGTAAGAGAGTGGAGCGTTTTATACGGAAAACGACAAGGGCGTTTAATGCTGAGACGGTAGTGAAAGTAACATCGAATTGCTAGGCCGTGTCTAGCTCCTATTCCAAGGTTCCTGACCTAGGAACGGCCTTAGCTCACTCGAAGATCGTCGTGCACGGAATTTCACAATGCTGCGGTTAATGGAGCCGTTGAGATACGCGAATCCTTTTCGTTTCATCAAAACTCTCATCGAATTTCTATCAATCATTTAATTCTATATCTTACCAAAAAGAAAAAACAAAACAAAACATATTCTCTGTTGCAGATCATAAATAATAAAATATATGTTAAGTATATAGGTACCAATAAAACAAGTCGTGTATAATCGATCGATCTAATTTACAAGACGAAATGTGTTAATTAAATAATATTGTTAAATAATGTGCATGATAAAAGTGAAACTACTCGCATTATCATATGGAAAACAATCAATTGATTCGTATACCTACACTGAGTTTCCCTTAAAATCATACACCGTTACGTTTACAAAATTATTGCATCAAAATTATTGATATAAAGTAAAACAATTCTACCTGTTGATATACTTAAAATATTCAATAATTATTATCTGATATTTTATTACATGAATATTTTCAACACAAAAAGACATATATTTTAGTTAAAACAATTTGAAATATTAGTAGAATGCATTAAATTATTTAAATAATTATTAATTAATTGATTAAAATGTATATGTATACGTTTGGTGCACCGTTCTATTCGAAATCTTCCGTTAAACTGACTCCATTGTCATCTATGACAGTTCTTTTATTCAATGTTGTTTATATTGTTTTCATTTTTATTTCCCAAGGGCTACGTATGTTTAACGGGTGTAATATTCGTAATATGAATAGAATTCGATATTATACTGTTTTTATTTTTATTTTTTTATTTTAATGACCTATTTACGTTTAATACAACATCAATATAAAACAATTATACTTTAATTAAAATAATTACACAAGTAATCATTTTGTTTCGCTTCTCAAAGAAAAAATAAACTAGAAATGATTTTCAATCGTTGATTACTCACACACTTGATCTTGTAAATTAGAATAAAGATCGATTTTAAAAATATTATTGAGTTGGCAACTGAGTGATTGCAGATTTTAAATAAGAATGAAAAATATAAGTTTATTCAATTACGTATTATCCATTTTTGTTGATGACCTTTTGCCATCGGTCAGGCAGTTCATCAAATTTCTGATCTTTGCTATCAAAAAACAGAATTAAGTGTAAAACAAAATCCGCAATGACTTAATTGCCAACCCAATATTATAGAAAGCCCTCCTCCAAATAGGGGGTTTTCTTCGTGTAAGATTTTTTTTCAGCGATGACAAAAAAACAAAACCTAAAAAAAAAAAAGGAATCGTTCGAACGACAAACGAATGTAAAGAAGGGGGTGATAAAAAAAGAGAACAGTGTGAAGAGATATCACCGATGGCTGGATTGATACATAGTTTCAACGATGCAAAACAAAAATAGAGGATGAAATATAAGAGGAAAGAAAAAAATATGGATTGACGAATTTTCTCGTATCTGTTCTCGTGTAGCAAGCAGCCGACGGGGCGGCAAGAGCGGCGGGCACGGTTTACCGCGTGGTCGCCGGCACTCAGAGCTTAGGGCTCGGTCTAAGTGCTTCGCGAGACGTCGCTGCCGCCGCCCCAGCTGCTGCTTCTGCATCTTCATCACCATCACCATCATCATCTTCTTCTTCTTCTTCTTCTTCTTCTTCTTCCTCGACCCCTGGTGCATCTTCCTCGATGGCCGATGCATCCTCAACAGCCGCCCCTCAGTCAGCAGCACAGTCAGCCACTCAACCACCATCGGTACGAGACCATCAACTCTCTCTCTCTCAACATTCCTTCCTTGCCTACGGCCAATATTTTTGATAATTTCACTAATCATTTATATTTTCTTGCTCTCACTCACCTTGCAATACATCGATTATGGTTTTTATAATACTTTGTAATTTTTTTCTCACGTTGATAACAACATTTTGAATGATAGTTTTAATGAATTAACGTATTGATAAAATGATACAGTAATTAAAAATAATTTATAGTATTTATATGAAACTGTGATACACTATTGATTATATAATTATTTTATTTTTTTTAATTTTTATTAGTATTTCAAAAACCTTAATCGATTTTATAATTATTTTCAACCCTTGATTTGAACCTTTCTCTATATTTCTCACTTTTATCACTTCTTATTTATCTTTCACTATCTTTTCCTATCTCTTTTGTGTATATGTGTGTGTTTAACGCTAATAACATTTAATCTCTGCACAACATGATCGTATTTTAATGCAGTATCATTTTTTTTTTGTTAGAAGAATTATACAATCTTTTACATTTGATTATCTTTCTTATTTAAAATTTAAACTAACTAAGATAAACGCTACTCTTTACAATATGGTTCGAATAATTTTACAATTTCATTTGCTAACTTGAAAAAAAAAATAAAAGAATATTTTCTAATTACTTATTCCTTATTTGCAAAAGATAATAACTCGGTTGAATAATCAAAGAAATAATTAAACCGTCTTTTAACTCGGAGTTAATAACAACGTCGATTTACTGCCAATATAAAATGAGATTACAAAAGAACCTACGATAGATCTTCCTGTCTGACTTTCGAACCGCAAAACGTGAACTACCAACATACTATCGTATCTCACGTGTAATATATGTACATTGTATATATATATGTATATGCATTAAATACGCACTTACGCATGCATGCATATATATGTAACACACTTTGCTTGTGGATGATGGTTAGAGCGTTTTTAAGTCTTTACACTTTCTATCGTAGACTTAAACATCGCTCATATGGTTTATACATTATCGGTTATGAGAGCCTAACTCTATCATCTTTTTTTCCCTTTCACCGTTTATCTTTATTATCTTTTTCTTTCTTTTATTTTGTTGGTTCTACGCATTCTACCGTCATTTGTATTACTCGTCCACATGTGTATTTGCCTCTAATTCTACCCCCCTTTTTTTATTTATATTTATCTTTTTCTTTCTATTACAAACGTATTACGTATCAAGATAATAAATTATTTTTGTATTTTACACATAATTATTAGAATTTAAAAGTAATATCCATACCATAATATATACCATATAATAATATCAATAAAATACCATATAATTTTGTTGAAAATCTTGACACGTGATTAGAAACGTTTGTATTTTATTTTAATCTTTCAAATCTTTTTTTTTCAAATTTCTAACATTATATTTTATCTTTATCTTTATCTTTCTTTCTACTATCTTTTTTCTGGATATTTCTATTTCTTTGTTCCCTTTACATAATGTCAAACTATACAGCGTTTGATATCCACGATATTCACCTTCGTGCTTTCTTTCTCTATCGTTAAAATCGTACTACTCCTGGGATCCTGCATCTACTTTGCTCGAATCCATTCCAAAAATTTCCACCCCGGCCTCAACGGTCCCGACGCAATCACCGACGATCACCGACTCTACTCTAAAAAGGCAAATTGTTTCAATTTTTTTGCCCAAAAACCGACTGGCCAATGGACGTTAAAAAAAAAAAAAAAAACACCAACCCTCGTTTTATTTTATTCTTCCAATGCAAATATAAATCGCGACTACTATCGTTGATATTATTATTGATGATTATTAATTGTATTATTTTTAATCTTGCACCTGTAATTCTAATTTAGTTCTTTAGCGACGTAGTTGTTGTTAATGTAATTTATTTTTTTTTTTATTAATTATTATTATTTTTTTTTTTTTTTACTTAACGTAGTCCTAGCACGAGCAATGAGCAAACGAGACAAGTTAAGATTGATATCAAAAGTTTAAATCTTTATTTCAAATCACGAATCGTTTGCTCATTGCACTATCATCACGTAGCCAAGTAGTTTTATCGTAATATCCGTTGTAAATCCGTTGTAAATATCCGCTTATGACGTACGTTTTTCGAGTAATGATGTTCATTTATTTTTTGGTTTCATTTATTTCATTATTTTTATACAAGTATTATTAAAACGTGATATAAACTTTGATATAATTTTCTTCAACTTCTTTTGAAATGTGACCAAAACTTACGTCATTGACACACAACTTTTTAGCGGATATTTTCATCGTACATATATCATAGTCATCGTAATTTATCATCTTTCATTATCATCATCATCATTATTAGAATTAATTTTCTTTTGTATATCAGCCTGCGTCGATATTCACTTTTACACGCCTCGTAGATTTTGACCAACATCACGAAACCATTAATAGAGTTGTTGTTATCGTAGCACGTAAGACATTTTTCAATTAGTAATATAGAATGGAATATTCATGAAGTGTAATTGTAATAGAAAAATTAGGTATAAGCGCATCATTTGAAAGAGAGAAATGAGCACAACGTAGTGTCGGGAGCGCTGGAGCTGGACGTGGAGCTGCAACACACACTCTGTAATTATATTGTCCTAACAAAGCAAAACAAAACAAATTATGAAGTAATGTAATGTAATGTAAAGTAAAGTAAAGTAAAACAAGCGAGAAAAGAAAAAACGAAAGAAGATGATATCGAACGTGATTTTTCTCTATCTATTTCTCTATTTATCTATCTATCTATCTGTCTATCCTATCATCTATCTCTATCTGTCTTTCCTTTTTTCTATTATTTTTCTTGAAGTATATATTTTTACTTCTTCAAGTACAAATTCATTGTTTTCTTCTTCTATTTTATTATTATTATTATTATTATTATTATTATTTGTTTAAACGAATGAAAACTTTTTTTCTATTTTAAGGGTCTACCTCTCGTACACTTTGAAACATGTTATATTACTTGCACGTATACTAAATTTCATAATGCATGTTTCATTTTCTTTTTTTATGTAATTTAATGTGTTAGAAAAAACTTGTATTTATGTCAAAATTAAAACACATATGTTTCAATGTGTGTAGGGTTGGTTGGTTCCTTTAACCCATTGACTGCCAGACATATTTAGAGGGACTTGCCTTAAATTTTGAAAAATATAATAATATTAAGTTACTGATATAATATTGTAATGGTATTTACAATAATTGATAATTAATGTTTTCTACACCATATAAATATTTTATTCAACCTTTTTAATAATTCTTAACGTAAATAACCATTTGTAATTAATCTGAAATTGCAGCACACACTACGAGATATCTCGTAGTTGGCAGTCAATGGGTTAAGATGTTTCTATTTTTTCTCCTTAGATATTTCTTCTCTGTTCACTCTCAAGTATGAATGTTATTAATCCATTCATTTTATCGTTATATTTGATCAAATTTCCTTTCAGATGGTAGCAGGAAGTGGAAGTCAAAGCAATGCGTCAGGTGATGCTTCTGCTGGAAGGGGGGATGGTACGCAGGAAGCTATACCTGGACCAATCACAAGGCTCTTTGTTATTGCCAATAGAGGAATTTCAAATCTTCTTCAAGATCTTATACTCGTAAGTAGAAAAAAGAACAAAATATCGAATAAAATGACAGAGAAATTCTGTAAAAAAAAAAAAAATCAATTGAACAATGAACATCAAATTTGAACAAAATTCTTTCAATGCACAAGGTGAGACAATTAACAAAAATTTCATCAAATTAATTAAAATTAGAAAGAAATATCTTCGATGTTTTATTCTGTAAACTTGAAAACGAACAAACGTTAACGTTTCGATAAATTTCTATTATTTCCTGATATTAATATATATATATATATATATATATATATATATATATATATA